GAAACTGACCAGCTTTCACTCCCATATAGCAGGATTGATATCATGTAGTAGTTCATCACCCTCCTCTTTTATTTCTAATGAAATTTTCCTGTTTCTTAATATTTTGCTTAGCTTTTGGAATGCATCTTTTCTTATTTCAATGTGATTCCAGATTTTGGTGTCACTTTTCAATGCTCTCTTAAGAAACTTCCCTGTTATTTAAACTTCTGCATTTGTGTGCTGTTGACATCTTTAATTTGTAACTTGCTTTTTCTCTAGCTAATATATTTTCTCGACTCTCTTGCCAGTTCAACATATCAGCAAATAACTAAATCAAGACTAGAATTTTTTTTTTTTGACAGCATATACAATTTACTTGAAAAATGTTATCATGTCATAGAAAAGCAGCAAAAATTCTTTGAATAATATTTTGAATTTTTGCAAATAAAACATTTGTCAAAACAAAGTGGGAACTTTTGACTCATGAGTGAATATACTTCTGAGCATATATATATATATATCACTTGTGGGATGAGTGGGATATTCAACCGGATACAAAAATTCGGGTTTACAGAGCCGTTGTCTTTGCCATCCTTTTGTACAGCTGAGTTGTGGACTCCATACAGGTACCATATATGCCAGCTGGATGATTTCCATAAGAGCTCTCTGTGTGCCATCTGTGGAGTTAGCCTTCAAGATAGGACATCCAATGTTGACCTGTTAAACAGGTGTAATATTGAAGGAATCGAGACTTTCTTCATACAGTCTCAGTTACGGTGGACTGGTTATGTCTTGAGAATGTCTGATGACAGGATACCCAAGATCCTAATGTACAGCCAGTTAGGCCAGGGCTACAGGAATGTAGGATGCCCATTGGCTTAGATACAAAGACAAGCTGAAGAGCAACTTGTCAGCTGTCAATATACCTCATAACACCTGTGAGCACTTAGCCTTGGAGCGGGTACAGTGAAGATCAACATGTTTTAGTGGACTCAGCAATTTTCAATCTGCAAGTCTGAATCTTCTTCAAGAAGTGAGAGCAAGCTCTAAAAGGTCAGCCAATCTAAGAGTGATATCATCCCACGACTTTCACTCTTGCTCTATATGCGGCCTCCTTTGTAAATCAGTAATAAGTGCCACTTAAGATTATCGCAGAAAATTCATAACTGAATCAATTGATTCATACGTCGAAAACACCGGGAGAGTCCATTATATATATATATATATATATATATATATATATATATATATATATGGCAAAAGAGTTTTTAACACATGTTTTCCGTACCTTTCTTTGGACTTATAATTACTAGCCAAATATGTGTCCTATGACCTGTCCTGTTCTCTTATCTCTGAAATTTCTCTATAAACAACATTTTCAGCCAGGCATCTATTTTTGAAAGTTCTTTTTAAGTCCACTTGATGACTGTGAGAGAGACATTTGAATAATTTTCTAATGTTTGTACTGATAAAAATAATAAAAATTAAGCAAACCTACTATTTTTCCCTTGTTTAAATAATCCAGTACAGTTTTAAGAAAATCTAATTTAACAGATTATTTTGACTTATTTAGATAATTATTTAGATAATTTTTTATCGGCTCTGTTTGACTAATTTTTACTAATGTGAAACAGTAAATGTCCTGCTTATTATGAACGTTGGAGATTTTCTGATGTGCTTGCTTGACAACTACTTTTTCTATGTGCCATGTCCCTTCAGGATATTGGTGATCATGGCTCTCCACAATTTCCTGTTCTTTATAGCACTTAGAAAATTTTGTCTTTTTGCTATCTCTCCTGATTCTTGTTCTCATAACCATTTACACAGTCTCATTTTTCTATGTGTTATGTCTCATCAAGATGTGGGCTATCATGGCTCTGCACAATTTTCTGCCATCTGTAGCTCTTAATAATATTGGTCTTTTTGTTATCTCATCTAAACCTTGTTCAGCCATCTAATGACCTAAAAGATGGTGTTGCGATAGAAGTCTGGTTAGAGGTACCCATACCTGTATTCCTGCTGTTTATAAATGATTCCCTGTGATTCATGTTGGCCTAATTTGTTTTGTGGACACAATGCAGTCTGCCACTTCTGCTCTGAAAATGTGTCCACCTTTTCAAACAACTGTTCTTCATGGCCATCCAGAACCTGGTCTATAAGTGAAAGAATATTTATTTGCCCCCTGTTGCTAACATCCATCCTGGGTATAACGATAAGCTACATCCATGTCCTGGGTAAGACAATAAACTACGTCCAACAGTAAGGCCTCTGATCAGGAGGTTTTGAGGAGCATGGAACCACCTCTTAATTACTGGTGTTCCTGGTTCCACCCTGATCCTGGGTGGTGGCACCTGTTAGGGTCCCAGCTATGGGCAAATAGTTAAACCCGAAACCAAGGTAAAAAGCATTGTAAAAGTATAAATAGAGGTTTTAATACCAGAAATAATTTATAAATAATTATTACCAGAGATAAATTTTTTAAGGAAAAAAAAACTATTACCAGCAATATATTTAAAAAAAAAAAAATTACCAGCAATACGTTTTTGAAAAAAAAAATCTTATTACCAGCAATGCATTTTTTAAAATAATATTACCATCTATACATTTTTGAGGAAAAAAAATATTACCAGAAATAGATTTTTGACAAAACAAAATATTACCGGCAATAAAAATTTTGGCGGCATTAAATAACCAATTGAGGTTGATATGCCATAAAACAAAATATCCAACCAACCTGTTGCTAACATCAAAGCACAAACCAATGTGTCACATCAAACATCCACAGCCATTTTATAAAAGTTCAATTTAAAAGGTTCTGCTTCAACAGAAGGAGCATGCAGGCATCTCCATAGAATAACATTGGAACCTTTCACTACACTAAAGATCAGATACAGATGGTGCACTAGTTTGATATAGCTGGGACCCTAACAGGTGCTACCACCCAGGGTCAGGGTAGACCTGGGAACAGCAGTTATTAAGAATGGTTCCACGCTCCTCAAAACCTTCCGATCAGAGGCCTTGAGGTTGGACGTAGTTTATCGTCTTGCCCAGGACGCGGATGTAGTTTATCGTCATACCCAGAACATATGTTAGCAACAGGGGGCAAATAAATATTCTTTCACTTATAGACCAGGCTCTGGATGGCCATGAAGAACAGTTGTTTGAAAAGGTAGACACAAGAAAGCCAAAGACTTTAAAAATTTTAAGAGCTACAAAGGACAGGAAGCTGTGGAGATCCATGATCGCTCATGTCCTGAAAGGACAAGACATGTAGAAGAATGTATAATCTATTCATAGCCATTATTGTTCCAATATCTTGAACCTGCAAGTATCGGCTTACTGTACCCAGGTCAAAATCAGCATCATCCCTCAAAGTGTTGTAATTTTGATAAAGCACATCTCAAAGCATAGTGGGAACAGATAGGTAACCTTGACATATTTGGGAAGGATATCAGAATAATTGAGAACCTATACTGGCAGCAAACTGCCAGCATGTAGATAGAAAACAAGTTCAGTAAATATACAAAAATAGAAAGGGGCATAAGACAAGGATGACTTTTCTAATCAAACTTATTCAACTCATACAGTGAGGTAATTCGTAGAGAAATAGAAGTCCTAACATAATTCATTATTGACGGCCACACTCTTAACAACATAACATATGCAGATGACACAGTGTTGTAAGTAGACACAGAATGGAAACTGCAGAAACTCCTACAGAAGGTAATGAAGGAAAGCAAGAAAGGACTATACATCAATTGCAAGAAGATGGAATGCATGGTTATTAGCAAAAGGAATGGCCCAACCTGCAAATTAAAAATTGGAGATACCAAAATCAAACACTTACAAAAATTCAAATATCAGAGAAGTGTTGAACAGAGAATGAAAAGTGCAACATGGAAATAGGAGTTGCATTGGGATAGCAAAAGGTGCCTTCCAAAAGCTAAGCAAAGTATTAAGTAACAAGAAAAATATCTTTAGGACTGTTATGTGACCTCTGTCCTCCTATATATCAGTGAATACTGGACAATCTCATCAAAGATGAAGAAGAGGATTGAAGCAACAGAAATGTGGTTTTACAGAAGGATGCTGAGAATATTATGAATCAGACATATAAGCAATGATGAATAAAAAAAAAAGGATACTTATAATTAACGTCCAGAAAAGACAGTTGAAATTAGATACCCACAGGACAGATTAAAGATAAGAGGGACAGAGGAAAATAATGCATAACTTGTATAAATGGATGTCGGACCAAGGTTTAGGAGAGATAGAGAAAAGACAAAATTTATTAAGAGCTACAAAGGACAGGAAGCTGTGGAGATTCATGATCGCTCACGTCCTGAAAGGACAAGACATGTAGAAGAATGTATAATCTATTCATAGCCATTATTGTTCCAAACATTTTTTGTTAACTTATTAAAAATCCTTGAAAATAAATTATCAATATATATATATATATATATATATATATATATATATATATATATATATATATATATTTTATGGACCTTCCAAGAGTTAATATGTGCATATCCATTTTGGAGGGTGTGTCTGATGTTTATATATACCCATGCAAAAATATGTGCTAAAAGCTTACTCTAGCACAAGGCCAAATGGAGTAAATGTGGATGAGGAAGACTGTGTTGCACCAGAACTATCTGTCTACAATCCCTAAAATTCAGCATCCAAAGTCATTTTTTAAATGAACTTGAACAACAACAACTGCAGCCATGATCTTGGACAACCCAAAAGCAGAATCATTATTCACTTTAGCATACCTTTAGTCAAAGACACAGTTACACTTGGGAGGTCCCTGGTGAGGATCAAATGCCCAGGAATTGCTAAATGGCAGGCATGACACTCTGATTAACTTTGATATTTGGGTAGATGCCTCACACACACACACACACACACACACACACACACACACACACAAACAAACAGGCACAATATCTACAAATGTATATTCTTTATAAGCAAAGTATACAAGATACATACAAGTCTGTGTTATATCTCATATGATCATATTTGATGTAAGTATCTATCTTTCTTTCTTTTTCTGGTAAGATCTATCTATCTATCTATGTGTCAATATCTCTCTTTCTCTCTCTCACTCTCTCTCTCTCTCTCTCTCTCTCTCTATCTATCTATCTATATATATATATATATATAAATATATATATATATATATATATATATATATATATATATATGATAAAAATATATTTCTAAGTTATGTTATATTTATGGGTAAAAATGCTCAGTATCAGAGACAGAGCATATATAGATATAAAAGTGGATACTGATGTCCACAACAAGCAGCAACAGTCTGTTTCATGCTTGTATGCAATCTTCAAGCCATGATAATATATATATATATATATATATATTATTATTATTATTATTATTATTAGGAGTAGATAGATTTTGACAGGAATAGATAGGTTCATCTTTCATCCTGTTCGCGCTGCTTCCTGGTCTTTTGAGAGGTTTATCCCTTGTTTCCTGTTTAGGATTGGGTTTGTGGTACCATCTCTTTCACTTCTAGTTGCTTGGTGTGAATTGATTATATATATATATATATATATATATATATATATATATATATATATTTATAGTACATGCAAAAAAGATTAAATATATCTGTGCATATTAATACAATATTGTGACCACTGCTAAATCTTCTGCTATATATGAATATACTTATATAGATATATGTGTGTGTGTGTGTGTGTGTGTGTGTGCACGCACAAATGTTTGCATATATGTAAATACATTATATATACTTTTGTGCAAATATGCGGTTTCTTACCTGTCATTAAATATTACACTATGTATGAATGCACTTTTGTATGCATTAGCAATTTATACATATATATATATATATATTGATAATAAGAAGATGGATGCTTTAAATATACATTTTGTTTATAATTTTTATTTTGCTCATTTTATAAATGAAATGTATAATTAAAGTCTCCGTTTTCTTATTATCATTATAATGCAATGTAGTATACATATCCTTCCAGTCACAGAATGGTAAAACATACAATTATATATATATATATATATATATATATATATATATATATATATATGTATGCTTACGGAAATATATATAAAGATATACATATACATACATATGTATATATATTTATATATTAAAAATGTCTATGCATATTTGTGTGTGTATATATATATATATATATATACTTATATGAGTACATGCAAATAATAATTGATGTTATTTATTTCTTGCTTTTTTGAAAGGAACATTTAGATTAGTATTTTCATTTTGGGAATGTACACAAACGCATAAAATGAGTAAAAGCCATTTAATCTGATGAAGAAACGAGTTAACAGTCAATGATATATGAATGTCTTTTAGCATTTTTTTTGCAAATTATATTAATTGCTGATGCTTATATACTAAATGGGCTGAATTGATTAAATATCTATCTATCTAAACATATTCTTTATCTATCTATATTTTATATATATATATATATATATATATATATATATATATATATATATATATGTATTTATATATGTATGTATGTAAATGGTAAGATCATTTGAAAAAAAAGAATATGTAAAAGTTGCAGCTATAATATAGCTCCTCACCTGGAAAAAGACGCACTTTAAGAGAATATTTGTATCTGCGTTCTATACGTAAATATTTGAGTATGATTTTAGATAAAAAAACTTTCATAAATATTGTATATATGACACAAAAATGACCATTAAAAATTACTGATAACACCAATAAACATTCAACATATATATATATGTATGTATAAATTGGCTTTAAAGAAATTTAAAAAGAATAACATAAGCATATCGTCTTGATATAAACAAAAATAAAGACACCATTGAAAACATTACAAGAATTCTTGCCTTGGCATACAGTTGCTTTTTTCTTACATGCTATAATTTCTTTGTATGGAACCATTTATGAAACATACATATATATATATATATATATATATATATATATATATATATATATATATATATATATATATATATATATATATAAGTATGTATATTTGTTTATATATGTGTTAATATTTGTGTGATTGTGTTTATATACAGACACACATACACATATATATACTTGTATGTATATATATATATATATATATATGTGTGTGTGTGTGTGGAATTGTATAACAAAGTAGAAAAACTTTTTCCACTTTGTCATACAATTTCCCCAAAACTGTTCTTGATGTATAAAATATATATTGTTATCTCATATATATATATATATATATATATATATACACACACATATATATGTATCTGTGTATATGCATATAGATACATATATGCAAATGTATATGCATATAGATACATATATATGTATACACACAACATATATATATATGAATACATATATATATATGTATGTGTGTATATATGTGTGTATTTATAAGATGTATATTTCTGTATTTATATATATAGATAGATAGATACATACATATATATATATTGGGTAATTGTATAAAAAAGTAGAAAAACTTTTTCCACTTTGTTCTACAAATACATCTATATATATTTATATATACATATAAATTTATTTATTATTAAGTCGATATAAATGCCGTTATATATGAGTCATGCAACCCAGAATTTCATGGAATTTTAATAACGAACGTGAATAATGTAGTATTGACAAATGACAAATTTGAAAAAAATGGGTGAAACTATGTTTATAACTACTTTTGCCGTTGTCCGCAAACTTTTCAGTTGTCCCTTGTAAGTATGTGTTGGTGCATATACTTATGTGTATGTATGCACATCCACATACACATCCATATATATATATATATATATATATATATATATATATATATATATATATATATATATAGACTGACACACAGACACAAACATATATCTCAGTTCATTTAAAAGCATGGTTGAACATGGGACATGCATGAAAAAATGGTGTCTGGGTTGGGGTGTCACGACAGGTATTCAAGGAAAAGATGGTTGTAATAAAATCCATGTCAATGAAAAAATCAATAAAAAAAGGAATGATTAAATCTAAAAAAATTCTTAAAAAATCAAATTAATTTTTTTTTTTTTTTTCTTTTTGGTGTTTCAAAGAATTTACTCACCTGTTTTTCATCTTTTCCCTTGCCTGTCGTTGTTGCAATAGCCCGGTCGCAAAAACTACCCTCAAGAAGAGCAACACCAGACGGCCGGCTTGACGTTTCATTTTCAAAGTAAAATAGAAAATTTTGGTAAAGTATAAACCATCTTAGCTGCCATTTACCTGTGTCGGAGCTTTTTTTATACAGGTAACTACACAAGGTATTTTCCTGGCGTGCTTTGTTCGCCAGGTACAAAATCTGGCTTTCGTTAAAACGGATCGCTTTTTGCATTGTCGAATTTTTATATATATTTGGATGGATATTATTCTGCAAGCTAGACCGATTTGTTAGTAGTAGTAGTAGTGGTGGTGGTAGTAGTAGTGGTAGTAGTAGTAGTAATAGTTGCAGTAGTAATAATAATTGTGGCAGTAGTAGTAGTAATAATGGAAGAAGTAATATTACTTGTTACCGTAACTCTGGTGGTGGTGGTGGTGGTGGTGGTTCTGGTGGTGGTGGTGGTGGTAAAGGTGTTATTATTAGATGTGGCAGTAGTAGTAATAGGCTGTAAAAGTCGCGGTAGTGACTGGAATCATAATGGTAATACTAATATTAGAATTAGTAGCAATATTAGTAATAATAATAATAATAGTAGTTTTGTATGCTATTGGTAATAGAAATGATAGTTGAAGTTGGGTTGATGGTGATGGTGGCTTTATTATTATTTTTATTATTCTGATGGTGGTGGTGATGGTGGTGGTGGTAATTGAAGGAGATCTGGGCAGTGGTACTTGTGTTATTTCAAATTATAGTTGAGAAAGGAGTGGCAGTACTTCCCCTACCCATAACATTAATAGTAATTGTTGTTGCTTTCAATTGATAATGCTTGTAGTAGTAGTAGTAGTGGTGGTGATGGTGGTAGTATTAGTAATTTAACTCTCTAGTTGATCATAACAACAACATTGGTGTAATCAACACAATAAAGTTAAGATGATACACACTATCTCCCAGCATTGCCATTATCAGCACCTTCTTTTCTTTCTTTCTTTCTTTCTTTCTTTCTTTCTTTCTTTCTTTCTTTCTTTCTTTCTTTCTTCTTTTTCTTCCACTCTCTTCTGATACTTCACCCTCACTCTCCAATCCTACTTACTCTCCAGCCTCTCTCTCTACTTTTTTTCAGTTTTCTTTCCAGCTCCTCCCTCTTTGGAGTTGTCTACCTCCCTTTCTTTCTCAGTTTATCTCTCTATTCGAGCACCTCTCTCTTTATGTCTCTCTCTCCCTCTCTCTTTATATATATCTATCTATATATATATAATATATATTTCTATCAGTTGTCGGTTGTCCTGTATATTCGTCTCTTTCTAGCTCATTCTCCCCCTTCTCTACTTCATACTGGCCTTCTGCTTGTTTTTTTTCCTCCTCTTCTGTACCTCTTCTTTTCTTTCCTTTTTTTTTGTTTTGTTTAACTTAATAGTCTCTCCTCTTCTTCTTTCACTGCCACAGCCCTCTCCTCCTCTCTTTCTCTTCTTCCTCCAAATCCAGATCGAATAACCTGGTCCTTTCCCCGTACACACGTTTCAGCGCACGCACGCGCGCCTCTGCGTATGTACGCGTTTCAGTTCTGTGTGCGCGCGATCGCGTGCGTACTCCTGATTGCGCCGGTCAACTTTACCCATGTAAATAGCTCCAACGTCCGTGTCTATAGCAGTTTCAACTTGAACAATTCAGCTGTGATGGCCAACAGCGAAAAACAGTCGAATACAAAGAGAAGCAGAAGAAAAAAAAAAAAAAAAAAGAATAAGGGGAAAAAAAAAAAACTTATGAAGATATTTCAATTCAGTATTATTCACTAAACGAACTACCTCTTACCATTATCACAAGGAATAGAACTTGTTATATATCTCTGTCCCCTACTTAAAAAAAGAGAGAGAAAAGAAAGAAAGAAAGAAAAAGAGAAAAATACTTTTCCGTATTTTTCCTTTTCATTGTTTCATGTGAAACTATTTTCCAGATATTCTTTTTTTTTGTCATAGAAATCTATTTTTCCTGACTTTTAATGCACGTTGACTTACTGTTCCGTTTTTCAAACATTTCTGGGGACTTTTTTTTCTCTTGTTTCATATCTTTTTATTTCTGCATTTTCCGTTTAATTAACATTTTTCTCTCTTTTATTTAAGGGAAACGAAGCCAGGAAAATGAGTCCTTTTTTCCCCCCACTTCATTTTTTTTTTCTTTCTTGAATTACCACTTACATAATTCACGAACGTTTCTGCATCTTGTATTTTTCACCCCTTTTTTTTTTTTACTTATGTTGTTTAAAAGGTCTTTTTGTTGCTTAATTTCATTGTTTCCTTTTTCTTTTCTTGAAAAGTTTTTCATTAGCAAAAGGAGAGTTTTTGTTGTTTTTTTTTGTTTTTTTTTTCGTTCCCAGGTCTTTTACAAATCACAGAAATTTGAAAGAAACTACAAGTTCTTTTACGCTCGTCGCTAGTCCAAAATAATCGGTTGGCGTTCCATAAAGTCCAGCAGCAACAACACGACGTAAAGTAGCAGATGGCTTTTTTACAGGGTTTCTTTTTTTCTTCTTTTTTCTTTTTAACAGAACCGATGATAAAGCTCGTTTATAGGCTTTTTTTTCTTTTTAAAATAAAAAAAAAAACAAAACAAAATAACCAATTTTCAGATTTTCTCCTTTCCGTTTTTTTTTCTTTTCTTTCTTTTTTTTTTTTTTTTTTTTTAATCGGGCCTTTTTCTGCACTTTGCTCCTGTAAGTAGTTAATTGCGTTATTTACTTTATTCTTTCCGTTGACGTTATTAAAAAGATTAACCTGAAAAATTGATGAAGTCCAAAGTGTCCTATTATACTGTTAGTTTTTTTTTAGTTTTTACAGTACACACGGACACATTTTATGCCAATACATTTATTGACAACGACTTGAAGTACGTGTGTGAGTACTTACAAATGTGTACTGTGCGTAAAAATCGAATTGAAATGTACCTTCTTAAGTCTTCTTCCAACAAGAAAAAAGGTACGATCATGTTCTTTAAACGAGTCTGTAAGGTAGACCTTTGCACAAGTTATAGTTTAATTTTTACATAGGCAAGATACTGCATTAAGATTTTAGAAGTAAGATAAAATCAAAAGGTTATTGAAGAAAAATGAGTCCATTTTTTTATTTTGATAGCCATGCAAATCTATATCAAAATGTTCAGTGAATATTTAGATTTTAAAATCGGATTTTAAGATCGTATTTTTAGTTTTAAAGCGTTTTTTTTTACTTCAGATTTTTCTTTTTTTTGGATTTACAAACAAGTCTTTTTTTCGTCTTCGCTTATAATTGAGTGAGAGTCTTTGATATTTTTTTTTTCTTGTTGTTGTTTTTTTCACTTGTACTTTGAGTAAGAAGAGGTTTTAGATTGGGTGGGGGATGTCGACCGATCTATCCCCTTTTAAAAAGACGTCAAGCAGGAGAAAGAAAGGAATATGAAAAGAAGTCTTATCGAAAAAAGTAAGATCAACAAACCAGTAGAGATGGCATCGACTGACAGTGATGACAGGGTCCCTTGTAAAACGAAAAAGGAATTTTAAAGATTTTTTTTTCTTATTTCCATAAATTCACGGGTCCCCCTTTGTTTTTTGTCTTTGCGTGTTTCTTTTTGTTACCCACCTTTTTTTTTTTTTTTTTTTCTTCTTCCTTTTCTTTATAGTGACGCTTTGTACCAGACAAACGCCTGGTATTTGGGGGTGCTTCTCATTGTGTCCGAGCCCCTATCTTTATGGCAAGAGGGGTAAAAAAAAAAAAAGAAAAAGAAAAGAAGAAAATCAGTGCTACAGGTGGTGTTGATTCTTGTTGGTCATTTCATTTTAGCTCCACTTGCGATGACGATTGTTAGTCGCGTTGCGCTGATGACGCACTGTGCTGACGCGCGCGCGCACACACTCTTTTTCCGTGGCGCGCTTCTCTTTGCTTTCTGCTGCTTCTTTTTCATCACTTTTCGCTGCTTTCTTGTATATGTGAGCTTGTGTTACAACCATACGCTTAAACTTGCTTGTTCGTCTTGTAAGCCTGTACGCTTCTTAAACGTTGCGTACTTTTCTTCCTCGTATTACTATTTTTAATATTAGTATTCTTTTTTTATTTTGCTAACTAATGTCACTTTCGTTCCGAGTTGATCTGAAAATTAAACATTTTATCTTATTTTCTCGCTTTTCTTATGATTCTTATCATTTCTTCTTCTTCTTCTTCTTCTTCTTCTTCTTCTTCTTCTTCTTTCTTTCTTTCTTTTTTTAAATCCCTATTTCTCTCTAGAGTTCCGTTTGAAAACCGGAATATCCCCCCTCTTCGCCTCCTCCTAATCAAATGAATGAAATGTAGATGTGACCGAACTAATTAAGAAAGAAAAACGTGCGTTAGGCAATTTTTTTTTTTTTTAAAGCTCAAAACGAAGAATTGCATTATAAGAAAGAAAGAAAGAAAGAAAGAAAGAAAGAAAGAAAGAAAGAAATGAAAACTTTAGGGGTTAAAAAAAAGAAAGGATTAAAACTAAAAGGATATAAAGATTACTTTGGGGTTTAAAAAGAGATGCTAAAAGGGCCGAATGAACACCAGTATAAATGAATTGGGTACAAACATTGGTTAGAATGTTGTCTAGCAAGAATAATGATAATATTAATAATAATAATAATAATGATATTAATAATAATAATACGATAATAAAATGTGAGAAATTGAAATCATATTTAAATTTACAGTGTGTTTGAAAGTCAGATGTTACGAAAGAAAAAAGCAGAGGGTTATCGAGATGATATCACATGACGTGAAAATACACGGTTGTATGACTATTTATTTATTCATTTATTGATGCTATCAATAAAGAAAATAAAATATAAAATAAAAGGGGAACGTGTTTTTCGTATGTGTCCCCACAACCTGCTTCATTTCAGAAAAAAATCAAAAACAAAAAATCCTGTTGTATTTTGGCTGTTTTATGAAAATTCTCATTAAATTTTATATACAAGAAACAGTGTAAAATTGCAAGTAAAATTGCAAATTGTTCTTATTAAGAAACAGAATTAAATTAGCTGAAAAAAATCGATGTTATTGTTACTTTTTTATCAGTGTTTGCCTTTCTTTTTTTTTGGTGCATTTTTTTTTCATTTTATTTTTAAATTTACGTTCTGTTATGTAACAATAGTGTTCAGTTTTTTTAAACGTTCGTAAAATTGTTTTTTCTTCACTTTCGCAAATTTTTCTCTTCTTTCTTTCTTTCTTTATTCGCTCTTTTCTTGTTTATGTCAGTTACTGGGTAGCTTATTGCACGGTACTCATAACTAGTCTTCTTAATAAACCAACACTTAGTATTATTCTACCTGTTTTCTTTTCAGTAATGCTGTCGTCTGGATGGTTCTAAAACTCTTCTTACCCCGTTTCCCAATTCTTCCCACTTCATTTTTTTTTTTTTTTTTTTTTTTTTTCCTTCGGGACTGTTCCTTGTGTTCCAATAATGACTGGCACGACTTTCAATGTGCCTCATCTTTCTCGGCTACCTGGCAAGAAGAAAATGTCTTTCCACGCTCCCCATCCCAGATACTTTTTTATTTATTATTATTATTATTATTATTATTATTAGTCATTCATTGCGTGTTCACACCAGTAGCAACTGGTGGCGACTTGCAATAGAAACTAAGTGACAGCAAACCTCCTCCATGCTCCAAAACATTTCTCTATATTCCAGTTGTGTGTTTTCAACAATACCATCCTCTGATTGGTTCTAACCTTCTGACGTCCAGTACCTCCGCTCTTTTTCTCCTCGGGTCCTTGGAACTCTTTCGAGTGCTCCGATAACGACTAGCACAACTGTCACCTTTCTGCGCCACAACTTACTCAGTTCCCTTGCAAGGTGGAGATATTTTGTGTCAGTTGTTATTATTGATGTTATTGGTGTTGTTGTCTGGGCCTCGTTTTTTCTTTCTCTTTCTTTCTTATTTTCTCAAGCATTGACATTTTTGAAAACGAACGTAGGTAAAGTAACAACACGAGTCACATGCAAGTGTTCATCCAATAAACACATACCACACATCGACCGAAACGAAAACCTCAATACAAGTCGCACACACTTACACACAAACAGTCAGAGTACCTCGTCGTCGTAAAGCAGACGATTGGGCTAAGCGGTTATTGGGAGAAGTTCGATTCTCGCTGGTTGTACCACACTCAGGGCGTTGTGCTAAATCTAAGCAACACACATTGATTATTCGATGTGCCGCGTACCTTCAGGACGTAAGCGATTATGGCTCTCCACAATTTCCTGTCCTTTCCTTAATAAATTTTGTCTTTTTGTTATCTCTTCTAAATCCCGCTCCGCCATCCGCTTATTCAAGTTCATTCATTCATTCATTCATTCATTCTTCTTCTTCTTCTTCTTCTTCTTCTTCTTCTTCTTCTTCTTCTTCTTCTTCTGTGTGATGTGTCCCTTCATGGAGACGGCGATCACAATGTCCCTTCATGGAGACTCTCCACAATTTCCTGTCCTTTGTAGCTCTTAATAAATTTTGTCTTTTTTGTTCTCTCCTAAATCCTGCTCCGCCATCCATCTATTCAAGCTATCTAGGTAGGTTACGCGTTGTTTTCCTCTGTCCCCCTTGCCTTCAATCTGTCATGTGAGTATCAAATTTTCCAAGCTCTCTTTCCTCATTATGTGCCCTAGAAACTTCAGTTGTCTCTTCCCGATGATAAATAAACTGTAATGTCCAAACGAAACACGTGGAAGAATTTCGGTTCTTGTTTTCAACAAGCGACACACACGCACAAAAAATAATTTGATTATACTCTTCTTCCCAGGAGAGTGGCCCGTTGCGCCTTCTCAGTCTAACGTTCTCAGCTGATAGACTATATTGAATCCATTGCTAGATCAGCTACTAAGAAAGTTGTTTCACTGTGTCGTGCAAGATATTTTTTCTTTCCAGAATCTATCTTACATATTTATAAGTTTACCTTTCATCCATGCTTTGAATATTGCTGCCACATATGATCCGGTGCTCCTGATATATATTTAGAGATTATTGATAAAATCCAAAAAAGAATCAGCAATATTATTGGTCCTGGTTTGGCATCTCGGCTTCATTCACTGTCCCACCGCCGTAATGTAGCTTCCCTGTGCCTTTTCTATAAATACTTTCATGGTAATTATTCTGATGAAATTTCTTCTATGGTACATAGACTTTATGAATTTAAGTTCAGTACAGAATTGGCAGCAAGGTTTCATTAATAAACAGTTGAATTGGCTAGATGTAACCGTAAGTTCTATGCTAACAGTTTCTTCTCTCACATAAGATTCACTTATTGGCATCTTGGCTTCAGTCACTTTCCTACCACCATAATGTAGCTTTCCTTTGCCTTTCCTTTAAATAATTTCATGCTAATTCTTCTTTTCACTATGGTACATAGACTTTATGAATTTAAGTGCAGTACTAGATTAGTGGCAAGGTTTCATCATTTTACAGTTGAAATGGCTAGATGTAACCGTAAGTTCTATGCTAACAGTTTCTTCCCTCGTATTACTTGCTTGTGGAACTCTCTGTCTGCTCCATACTTTCCAGCCAATTTTGCCGTTCAAATATTTAAATGCAATGTTAATCGATATTTACTAACTTGCTGATTACTTTTCTTCTATTGTTTTCACCCCTTAATAATGTTTCTCTTTTTGCTTATTCTTTCTCGCTCAGTAATTCCGTGTGTCTTGGTGGTTTTATTGCTGTGCACCGGTTGAAAATTTTGTATGCATTTTTAAGATGTGGAATTTGTTACATAATGTCATTGTCTTGACTGTTATATAAAAGTAAATTCAGCAGTGTCTAAAGTGAAGGATTTTTATTTATTAATCCAACAGATTTTATTAGTTAAACGTTATTTTCAATGGATGCCCATATTTGAGTAGACGCTGTGTTTATTTGTCATACACTATATTTATTTTCGTCTACTGACTTAAATCTTCGAGAGATCTTATTAAAGAAAATTATGCACTTTCCAGCAGGATTCGAAACTGTGTCCACCTGGGCAAAGGAAACCGTCGGTTAGATCCGACATACTTTAAACCTCTCGGCAACGTCGATGATTAAGCAAAGTCGAATACTGCCTTTAAACCTAAATATTTCCCTGACTTTCGAAATATACATGTCTGCCTAGTTTCGTATCCTAACGAAAAGAAAAACAATTTCTAAAGAAGCAATGGATTTTTGATTTATTAATCCGACAGATTTTATTACTTAAACGTTATTTTCAGTGGATGCCCATATTTAAGTAGACGCCCCGTTTATATGTCAGGCACTATATCTATTTATTTTCGTTTACCGACCTGAATATTCGAAAAATCTTATTAGAGAAAAATATTCATTCTTTGGCAGGATTCGAACCTGCCTCCCCACTGTTCAGGTGGAAACCGTCGTTAGATCCAGCGGCAGTTGTTTATCTCACGCACCTTTTACTGCCTGATATGATACGAAGGAAATCCCACTGCATAACAATAAGGCTTTAAAATATTAACCAAAAAAAAAAGTACAAAAAAAACAAACATATTAATAACCACCATTACTTAATTTTTGTATTACTTGTTTATGAAAATACAACATTACGAAAAATTCAATAGTATTAAAAAAATAGTTAAAAGAAAGGTTTAACATGATCAGTAATTAAGTATTCTTCTGTTTATTTTTTATTTTATTTTATTTTATATTTTTTTTTGTTAATGCATATCCCTTTAGAACAGACAATAAATGGTTATCCACAGATCACATTTCTTTGTGAGCTGCGAATTACCATGAATTCTTGTGAAAGATAGCGGAGTAGTTCTTATTACCTTCTCCATGGTTTAGAATTCAGTTTTCCTTCTCTTAGACTGGTTGCCATTCAAGGCTAGAGAGACCAGTCTACACTGTTATTTAACCCATTTTCCTTTACTTAAATGCCACGTCGTTTTAGGATGCAAGCAACCATTGCTCTTCGCGGGTCTTTTTCCTATAATATCTGTGAATCCCTATGCCGTCTTGGGAAGGATGACCGAACGGTTTCACGTTGCATTCTTCACGGTTTAGAATTGAAAGTTTTACTTCTTTTAGACCAGTGGCACCCAAACGCAGCGGCATGCCTCATAGGTGCAGTGGGGATAGCCGGTGATGCGGATACATTGAAATAAAATCAAAGATTTAGAAACAGTTTCAAAACATTCATATGCCAAAAATAAATATGCTTACAAAATTTAAAAAATTATAAATTAATTATAATCGCATGTTCCA